GGCTACCTCTAAAATTGCTAACTCAGTGCTCAGTAGAAGAGCACTTGCTTGGCTTACCCAGGACCTTGGGTTCCACACCTTGGGCAACAAAACCAAATAATAAAACATGATAAAAATAAGATCGATGACTGCTGTGGGTACAGTAATTCTCTAGCTCCACCATTAATTCCAAGACACTGAGACGATGCTTTCATTTCCTCTGGGACCCCCAGAGTTCAGTATAACATTTTTTTCAGCAGAACTATACTTTGGTTCTTGGGCCAGGGGAACATCTAAAGTCACCACAGTCTTTAGGAAAACGGAAGAGAACATCTATTGAGGGTCCTCCATCAGTCACAGAAGTCAGATGTCTTTCTGTGAGCTATCAGACATACCCTCTAGAACGACCTAGCCTCTCCTGATGAGAACAGAGACTCTAAAAAGAGAACGGCTCGAAAGCACAGAGTGGTAAAAGGATTCCTATCCCTGTATGTCTTGAGCTTTGCAGAGCATAACTGTTAGTCTCCCTTTAAGTATGAAAGTGAGACTGAGCTGTATCTCAGATGGTAGAGTGCTTGCCTAGCATACACAAGGCCCTGGGCCCAGGGATTCAAGGTCACACTTTGCTACATCGGCAGTTCAAGACCGGTGTAGACCTGAGACCTTAGTTTTAAAAGACACTGCACAAGTGGTGTGTGTTTAGAAGACTGTGTTGTGTCCATTCCTGTACTGAGAGGTTGTTGTATGATGGATTCTTTATCATGATTCACCCTCATTTTATATGCTACTGCCTGATATATGCTACTTTGGGCTGAGGTTGTAGGTTGTAGGTAGAGCATTTGCCACGTGTGGTTATGGGATATATTTTGTGGATGAGAATGCGATTTGCCTTGGATTATAGTAGGTGCAAGGGTTAAGTCTGGAAAGAAGCAAGTGAGAGGATAAAATCATGTTGGGGCAGGCTCAGGCTTGGAGACTTGTTTCGCGGTAATGGTGAAAATCACAGTTCCCGGAAAACCATCTAGATTTTATCTTTTACCTTTTTAAAAAGAGAAGTCCTGATAACTAGAATGGGTTTGCAAAGCAATGCAAATCAGTAAGAATTAGCGTCACCGGGAAATCAGAAGACGAAAGCAGTTTTCTCTACATTAAACTCAGATAGAGAAAATGCCACTATTTGTATAAACAGTTCAGAAATTTCTGTATGATAAATTACACAGATTTCAGAAGCTGTCTCTGACCATGTTTTGTCTTGCTTGTTTTTGTTTTGTTGTTGTTATTTTCTTTTGTGGTATTTGGGCACTGAGACTAGGGTCCTGCGTGTTCTAGGCAAGCGCTCTACCAGTAAACTTTGAGCGAGCACAGCCTTTTCCAATTCTCTATTTTGAAATAGGGTTCTCTTACTTGCCCAGGTTGGCCTTGAATTGACAATCCTTCAGCCTCAGCTTCCTGAATATCGGACAATTACAGGCCTAGCCACATGTTTCCACTGGTCCTGCTGTTGCTTTGTCTCATGGCAACATGCAGAGTTGTCTATCACAATTTCAGCTACCAGCTAAAATGTTACATAGGTTACAACTCCAATTCTTTTTTTTTTTTTTTTTTTTTGGTTTTTCGAGACAGGGTTTCTCTGTGTAGCACTGGCTATCCTGGAACTCACTCTGTAGACCAGGCTGGCCTCAAACTCAGAAATCTGCCTGCCTCTGCCTCCCAAGTGCTGGGATTAAAGGTGTGCGCCACCAATGCCTGGCTAACAACTCCAATTCTTTAATTTGAAATACGGTAACTTCCCAGGCCAGTGATCCTCACCTACAATCAGAGGCTTAGGAACCTACCCCAAACTTACTCTTTTGTTGTTTACACTCTGCATATTATGTGAACGAATCTCAAATTTCTTAGGGATGTATTTATCTTTATTTTATGTGTTTGAGTGTTTGTTTACCTGCATGTATATTTGTGCACCACCTGTGTGCCTGATTCCCATGGAGGCCAAAGGGTGTCCAATCCCCTGGAGCTAGAGTGATACAAGGCTGTGGGCTGCCGTTCGGTTGCCGGGAATAGAACCTGGGTCCTCTGGAAGAGTAGCCAGTGTTCTTAATGAACGAGCCATCGTTTCAGCCCATCTCAGAATTTTTGTTTGCTGTATCTAAAAGTTTTTCCTCTCTAGAACACGTGCTTGTTCGTTCTTATAAACCGAGCCCTTATTCTTCTGACAGTCCCACTTGAACGATGTTAAGTGCACGGTAGTGGACAGTTAGGGAGACTCTTCTGCTCGTCCTGAGAAACTGAGTTCCAGAGATTGCTAAGCCAGGACGTGCAGAGCCAGCACTAATCACACAGAAATAAGTGAACTACCAATGACTGTCACTTATACTTGAAATGTTATTATAGTGCTCCATTTTCAGGATGCCAGGATAAGGAAGACCTTTGTCTTTCCTTTTAGGTGATCCATAACCCATGACAATTTAATAGTAATAGGCATTGTGTTTTGTTTTTTGTTTTTTTACCTGAACTCCTCAGAATGCAGAAACTTACAGTGAGTCTTCTTGTTTTAAAGGGTGATCTGGCTATCTCTACAGCTTCAATGAGAATCTCTTCTTTTTTAAATGGGAGCATATTTAGAACTGATTATATAACCAAGGCCTTGCCTGGATGTTGTATGCAACAAGGATGTCTATTTAATATCAACTGTACCAGTCCCTTTGAAGGAACTGAGGCTTACTGTATGGACTCAATACTAATAGAACACTCCAAGGAAAGTGGTTTTCTGAGTTCCCCATCTTACAGGTAGAAAAACGTCAGTCAGTTTTTCGGATTGAAAAGCCTTATGAGCCAGGCAGTGGTGGCGCACGCCTTTAATCACAGCACTTGGGAGGCAGAGGCAGGCAGATTTCTGAGTTCGAGGCCAGCCTGGGCTACAGAGTGAGTTCCAGGACAGCCAGGGCTATAAAGAGAAACCCTGACTCGAAAAAAAAAGAAAGAAAGAAAAGCCTTATGATATTTAGGGGATCGGGGGCGCAAAGAAAGAGGGATCTGCTCAAATCTACAGCAGGTGGAATCTGGTGAAGACAGGGTTTTTTTTTGGCATCAGTTGGCAAAGAGCTTGCTGCACACGCTGAGTGCCAGAGCTTCATCCTCAGCACTCACGTTAAAGCCTGACAAGGTGGTGGCTGCGTCTGCGCTCCCAGGGAAGGCAGAGACAGGCTGGAGCTACCCTATAGCTCTGGGGAACTCACTGGTAAGTTCTGGGTCCCAGTGAGAAACCCTGTCTCAAAAGCTAAGATGGATGGCTCCTGAAGACGGACACCTGAGGTTGACTTCTGGCTCCACAGAGACACACATGAACTACCACTGCCAAAGGACACACAGACACACAAACACACACACACACACACACACACACATCTTAAATTTTTTTTAAACAGTCCTTATGAAAACTTCCAGCAGCACACATTTAACCTGTCCGTGACCTACCTGGTTAATTAAAGCTTTTGCTGTACATAAGTGAACAATGAGATTAAATCTAAGGAGACCCATTATATTTTGTGATCAAATTTTTTTCTTAGAGATGAAAAAAAAAAAACCCAACAACTGTGAAACAGAGTCTGTAAAGAAAACAGTGTTTTAGAGAGAGAATACCTTCCAGATTATCTGAATCTAGTCTGCCATTTATCCCAATTTTAGCTTTTCTTGACACCGAGCAACTTTACTCTCTGAAGTGGTAGCTAATTGGTAAGTCATATAAGATATGTCTGCTAGTGAGATAGCTTCAGGAGTCTTAATGTATAAATGAGTTTATTTGTATTATGCTTTTAAAAATTGTGGTAAAATATACATAGCAGAAAACCTTATTGTCATCTCAACCACCTTTAAATGTAAAAGTCAGGGCAGCTGAAATCAGGGACAGAAAGATACTGTGTGACACCCATCGCTGCAGTCCACAGCCACTGAACGGTGACTCTCCACTCCCCTCTGGAGTCTCTCTCTACCCAATTATGACATCTTCTAGCTCCTTCATTATGAGGCCAACACACTCTTCTCTTTCACATTCATGTTCGCCTCCCTTTGAGAGTCATTTTATATCTTTCAAAAAACACAAAGCTGTTTAATAGGTCCCAATTTTAAAAGGACCACATATACCATCTAAAGGATTTTGTATATGATGACACTTTTTAAAACCAGGCCAAATTGATCACTAAATATCTGCCCAATCTAAAGACGACCCTTAGTTTGAGAATTTAGATTTGGCAATGCTGTGTCATCTGTTTTTTTTAAAAGAAGCCAGCAACTGACTATTTTGTTAAGTTTTATAAATGATGGTAACTAACAAAATATTTTAACATCCTCCCTTTCCCACCTCTTGCTGACCAAGTACACTGCTCCAAAAGCTCAATGGAGATTGGCTAAAACCTTTTCTCCCAGGACAAGGGTGACCTTGTGGTGGTGGGGACAGCTGCTGGAAATGCCAGCTCACACTTTTAAGGGTGACCACCAGTGTTGGAGCAGCTATAGATCTGATCCCAGAGATCTGCCCTGGCTAGGTATCCCTGAGACTGGAACGGTGCCCCCAGGCAGGCTTAACAGAATCAGTGATTTCTGGCTTGTTACCTAATCCAATCAAGAGGGGACCTAAGCTCTCTGGCTCCATTTATATTCTACCAGTTCTTGGCCTCGGTTCCCCACAGCCAAATCCGGATCCCTTAGATACACAGATAAGACTCGGAGGCACTCTACAGGTACCCGCCGGTGCGCCTGTGTTTGCAGATACAGGTGGCAAACCAGAAAGGATGAAGACTTTTAGACACAGACACCCTGTTCTTCACCGGGGTTATACAGAAATCTGGGCTAATGTGGAATTAATAGTTCTGTGTTACTAACCTTCCACGCCTGCGCCACCGTAGGGGCCCTGCCAGATAGAACTATTACCCCATCCCCCACTCCGGGGACAAGCAGAAACATCCGCCGCCTGAGTGAGTCTCTGAGCGTCTTGGCAGGCAGCCTCCCTCCCCAGCCCTGCTCACCAGCTGTCCCTAGAGAAGGCACGGAGGAACCAGACACCCGGAGCCAGGGAAGACCGCATCTTGCGGCGCCGGTACTCGAAGCTGGGACTACGGAGGGTGCAGAGCCCGGCGCGCGTCCCCTCCAGCGTCCGCAGCGATTTAAATGCCCCGCCGGCTGGCCCGCCCCAGGCAGGCCCGTGGCCAGAGCCCACGCCCCTTGAACATGACCGCCCTGCCCTCTAGGTCGCGCCGAGTGCAAACCCTAGCTATCCTTCTTTGCTCAGTAGCCTCTGTTTGCTATGCACTGCCATCTGTTTTCTCGAACTTTCTCTCCTTGTCGAAAACCAGCAGTCTTGAGTTTCCTGGGGCTCCTCTTTCTTGTCTGTGCATTTCCGTTTCACTACCCACGAGGGGATGGGGAACGGAAAAACAGCAGCCCTACAAGTCATCAACTCTGTGTGACGTCCGGTCTCCCGCAGTGCTACCTGTCCTGAGTGATTCTGTGCCCTGACATAAAGCAAATCAGGCTCTCTGTGCGAGGGAGCGCAATGGGACGGTCACACTGACTCATGATTTGCGGGAGCTCTTCGGGAGCCCTGGAAGTTGTATCAGGGTGGAAAAGGATTCCTCAAATCTGCCTCTCAGGTTCGCGTTCTGCCTGCTCAGAATCCAGTTTACTGAGCAAGCGAGGAGCCTTTCTAAAGCTCCACTAGCCAGTTCTGCCAGCAGTGTGTTGCCAACACTCCAATCTCCCCTTCCCAGGCACGCCGCCAGGTGGCAGTGAAGAGCTACAAGGGTCTTCCGTGCTCATTAAAAAACCTGACTGCCTCTAGCTTGATGATTTCAGGGTATATTTCCACCTATAAAAAGAAGCTGTGATGAGATTCTTGTGTGGGAAACCGAGGGCAAAATACCGAGGGTGGAAAGGGAAAGTATGCGCCTCAAAAGTAAACTTGTTAATAGTACATAAAATAGAAATGTGTCTGTGCAAATGGGTTTCAGCCCTTACCCCACCCACCCCTAACTCCTAGGAGTGCCCAGTATTCAGAGCAAGGTCAGGGAGGTGCAGCAACAGCTCCACCAAACAGTGGAGGACTCAGGATAATGGGCTTGGCTCGTCAGCCCTGGTATCAAGCAGAAAGAGGGTAAGCAGAGTTATAAAACCCTTGGATAATACCAGCAGTTGGGAGTATTTCTAGTGCCAGAAATAAAGGCAAGTCAAGGACAGGGGTAAAGGATTAGAGGAAGGAGAAAGGTGGTAGGCGGGAGGCACAAACACCAAGAGTATCACGTAGTATGGCTCAGTGAAATCCCTAAGTACAGGGTCTGGGGAGATGGCTCTGAGAGCACTTCCTCTGCAAGCATGAGAACCTGAGTTTGAATCTCCAGCATGCACATAAAACGCCAGGCATGGCTGCCGGGCCAGTGACCTCAGCACTAGGGGAAGAAGTAGACCCTGAAAGCCTCACTGGCTGGCCAGCCAGCCCACCCAAAACCGAGTATTTGTTATTCAATAAGAAACCGTCTTAAGACAATAATGGAGAATGACAGAAGAAGACGGTCAAGGCCCTATTCTGGCCACCATATGTGCATACACAGGCAAATGCACCAAATAAAACACACACACACATACACACCAACACTCACACACCAACACTCACAATAAATAAACAAACAAACTCCACACACTGCCTAAGTACTCATCCCTTTCTGTATTCACCACTTTCTTACCATTCAGTGAAGTGGGAATTATCAAAATGTGTCGCATGACTTTAAGCTCTCATTTGCCCGGGGCACTCCAAACTCAGGTGGCAAACACTCTTGGTTAAACAGAAGTCACAGTAGAGTGAGCTGGCATCCTCAGAATGACAGCTACTGGTTTCTAGGGGACGAAGACAAGGATCCGGTTGCAATACGAATGAACCAAGGAAGTTGCGGGTCATCCAAGGTTACTCAGTAAGTAGGTATCAGTAGAGGAATGGAGAGACTATTGCCAGGGCTTCTGTGGTGCTAGTTAGACTTCAGCAGTGGAGGACAGCTGTCTCTCCATTAGAAAGACAGACGCACTACTGTCTGTTTTGCATGATTTTCTGGAGGCATGCTGGTGTCTCTTCCATAGTCATTATCTGCTGAGTGCTGGAACTGTCAGACTAGGTGCTCATTAGTGCTTACTCTAAGTGCTCTGAGGCTGTAAGACTATGCCTCACCATGCGCCAACAAGTACGGAGGAGCTGGGCCAGTTCTCAGACAGTCTTTGTTGCCTATGGATTCGGGCCATGGATCCCTGTCCAGGTGTTAGGGTGGCACCTAGGGCATGTCTGTTAGCCCTGGAACCCATCTGCATTTGCTTCTGTAGGTGACCTGGATGCACTCTGCTTCCTGCTGCTTGAGAGTGACACCCAGGGATACTACAACCCAGGTATTCCTTTTCCCCACTAACAGCACCTCTCCACCCCTGCCTCACTTCCTGTTGTATCTGTCACCCCCATACAGCACCTTCTCAAACCCTGTGGGATGTGACCGGTGTCTGAAGAAATGAGGAAGGGAGGAGACACTCAGTCAGCCACTGAAGGAAAAGATCCTAATTCCCAGTTGGCAGCCTTCTAATTACTGTGGTTAGGTATTAGGCACTTGTGATGAAGAAACTCAGTGCCATTCGCCTTTTTAGCCACCAATCATCCGTTTCAACTGCTACTGGGTTTCATTGATCACCCATGTGACTTACTAGGCTTTCTGTTTAGACTCTTAGTGATGAGTGTCTTCCTTGGTTTTATGGAAGGGACAAAAGGCCTTGAATGCTCCTGAATATTAGCGACCAAATGCCAAAAGAAGTTACTGGGTTGAAGAACATAAAATATCAGCATACACACAACCATCGTCTTAAAAATGCATTTTCCTTCTCTCATTTCTGTCTTATAAAACAGACAATAGAAGAACCATATCTCAAGGGGTGTGATTGAACGGGCAGGAAGTCAGGATATTGGGAGAAATATATTACTAGGATTTTTCGTTGAGAGGTGGACACTAAAAATATAAAATACTGCTTAGAGTCAGAGACAACACTGATTCTCAGCTCCTATATCTATAAAACATGGACAGTAACACCTGTAGTGCAAGGTGGCTGTAGGAACTAGAAGTTACTTATGTACAAATGTGTAATAGTGCCTGACATGTTCAGTAAGCTCTTGCAGGTAGAGAGATAATGTGTGTATCGTTAGACATAGAATCAGGGTTCTTACAAGGAGCTGGTGGGTCTAATGGCACAGGTTTGTCCTCTAAAACCCTTAACAGTGTGCCTGTGTACAAGACAAACCTATGCTATGCCACTCAATGAAACCATGTTTCTGAAATGCCTACCAAAGAAAAGCTCCGCCTTGCTAAAAGTAGTTACAAACAGGGGTTTCGACTTACCAAAGCCTGGACTGATGGTTAATGATGTCCTGAAGAACTGGCTTTACACTCCACGTTGGCTGCTTCTCCTGTATCCGGCTTCCTCGGGACACTAGTAGACCAGCAGAACAGAGACAGCACAACCTCAGAGACCTTATAGAAAGGGGCACAGTGCGGAATGAGTGCTTAACTATTATAATTTTCCAAGTTGTTTTGTTTAGGGGAAAGCTAAGCAGCAGGAAATGACAATGATAAAAAAGAGTTTGTCTCCGTGACCTAGTCTCCCAAGTTGCAGATGGTTGGTCTTTGGGTGAAAGTAGTAATTCATCCATTTACTGATTTAATAAGCATTTGCTCAATGTCAGTTCTAGGCTAGGCGGAGGGCAAACTGATAAAGACAGGCATAGTGCCTAACCTCGAGGAATTTACAGCTGAATAGGTCAGGGATGTATAGCACACATCTCAAGGGTAAGTTGGTAAATTGATACAAACAAGAAAGTAACGCTACAGAGTGTGTTCATACACCTAGGATAACTCCGAGATGGGATCAAATAGTTCTTAATCTGAGAAGGCTTTACTGTTTGCCACATGGCCAGATTTGACCAGTAGGGCTAGCTGCTTACCGTGTAGAGGAGATAAGAAGGTGGGACCCGCAGAGCACATCTGCAAAACAACATACCACAGAAAGCATGGTATTGAAGGAAGTTCTGCATAGCTGGCAACACAGTGCTCCACACGTGCATGGTGGAAAACTACAGAAGATATGACTGCTCTTTACTGTAGTGAGGTGGTTGAGAGCGGTGAACGGCCATGCTAACAGGTTGAGAGTTTATCCTTTGAACTGCAGGCTGTTATGATAAGAGGGTTTCAGGAAAGGTTCAGAAATTCTGAGCCTAGTGGTCCATATTTGAAACCCCTGCACTTGGGAGGCAGAAGCAGGAATATGAATTCTCGGTTAAACCTAGGCTAACACAGACATTACCAGAAGGGAGGAAGGGAAGTGTCTAGAAAAGTTAACCATGTCCAGTCAAAGGACCAAGCAAAGAGCAGCCAAGCAATAAGCAGCCCACTCCAGACAAGCACCAGACAGAACACTACAGCTCTCCACTCCTCTTAGCCAAGACTACAGGAGATCTAGGTTTCTGCTTACACATGTCTACAGCAGATCCCCATGCCCTGAGGTGGCATCTGAGAACTTCAAATGGGAAGGAACTTTCGCCTCCTTCCAGTGATAATGAGTACTCCGACCCGTACACCAAGTACCACTGGTCCAGAGTGGGAGCAGTTAGAAGGTCCATTCTTCCTCCCGTATGACTGTCAATAGAGGCCTAGTCAGAATGCTCACCCATCTTAATAGTAATGAGGTATACGTGGTCCCACAAGGGTGACAGTGAGGACACTTTCACCCATCGGTACCTAGCAGAGTAGGTCAAAAACAAAAAACAAAAACATGACTCCTAGAACATGCTATCACTTTCCTAGGAAATGTTAAACTGAGTCAGCAAGATGGCTTAGCAGGTAAGATGCTTGCTGCCATGCCTCAGAACTGGAGTCAGTCCCTGGAACCCACATGATGGATGGAAAGAACTGACTTCCCAAAGCTGTCTTCTGACCTCCACGTGTGCACCATGGCACAGGCGTGCATGCATGTACACAGAGTCATTTTTTAAGTTTGAAACGTATTTACCATACAGTTAAGTTTCATTCTTGGGCATGTATGTTGATTAAGCTAATATTTCTACCTGCACAAAACCC